GAATCTGCTCTTGTCTTCCACTTCACAGAGGAGACTCCCCCAACCCCAGCCAATTGTCTGGATCCTCCCTTTGCCACCCTACTCCATATGTGACCAGMACTGACTGCACCTGGGTGGGCACATTTTGAACCACCTATTTTAACTTCATGCTGAAAATCACAAATGGACATTTTGTCTGTCAATATGTAGGAAGAAAGGGAGAGAAGGAGGGACAGAGAGAGGGAGAGAGAGAAAGAAAGAGGGAGGGGCTTTGGGTGTGGATTAGTGGTAGAGCACTTGCTTAGCATGCATGGGGCACTGGGTTCAATCCCCCCACCACCACCCCGCACCTCATTCCCCCCGCACCACATAAAAATAAATAAATAACAAATTTTTAAAAAAAGGTATTGTGTCCATCTACAGCTAAAAAAATATTTAAAAAAATAAAGCCAGAAAGAAAGAAGTGAGCTGGGGATGGGGATCAGTTGTCATTTGTAGAGCAATAGCATAGAATTGCAAGATCTAAACATCAGGGGGCACCACGCACCCAGAACATGGAGGAGAAAAGCAGAGGACTCAAATAAGTGCTGAGGGTGTGAGCAGGAAGGCTGAAGGGAGTCACTGTGGAATACATAGTGTAACACTGACACACGTTCCTAAGAAATGTGCACCTAGCTTAATCCACATAAACTAAATGCATTTATTAATTTCCTTTTTTAAAAATCACAAAAAGTCTCGTGATTTTTCTTCAAATTGGATTATGCCCCTTGTTCATTTTCTATTAATCTATGCTGTTTTGTTTTATTTATTTATTTATTTATTTATTTATTTATTTATTTATTTATTTTGCAGTGTCAAGGATGGAACCCATGGCCTTATGCATGCTAGGTAAGTGCTCTAATACTAAGTTACATCCCCAGCCCTGACTTGGGCTTTTTAAAAATTAATTTCTAGCACATCTATTTGTTCTGAGTATTAATCCTTCATCATGTAGATATGTGAAAATATCTTTGGTAGTCCATGGCTTGTGTCTCTTTTATTTTTTAATGGTAACTTTCTGTTGTACAGAGATTTTCAGTTTTAATATAAATTAAGTCATTAATCCCCCCCCCTCATTTTTGTTGTTGTTGTTGTTTCTTGGTTTGTTTGTTTTGCAGTGCTGGGGATCAAACCCAGGGCCTCACACATGCTAGATAAGTGCTTTACCACTGAGCTACAYCCCAGCTCTTGGTTTGTTCTTTCTGAGTGCTGTTTGACATCTCTTTTTCCATCTTGAGATCATATTCTTTTCAATCATCTTAAACCTTTGCTTTCTAGCCTCCTATTTGAAATTGGTCTGGTATAATTTTTTTCATATGAATAAGCCAACTACGGGAAAAAAAATTCATACTTTCATTGCCAAGTAGCCATTTCTTTCATAAAAATTTCTTTCCCATAAATGCACATGCCCATCAGGGGACCCCTATTCCATGGGTCCATTTGTCCATTACTATACCAAAAATCATATTTAACCATACTATTCTTGGCCTCTTCGTTTTCCCAACACCTCTGCGACATTTACCCATTTCTTCCATTACATTAATGTAATCACCTCAGAGCTCTGCACTACAGAAGATGACAGAAGGAAGCACAGGTGACTAAAGAGATTAGTACTATACAAAAGGAAGATAGTTCATCTATTCWAGAATTGATTTGGGAAACAACAGTTATAAATTAATTAACCTTGTATATGAGTTCATTTTCTGTTGCTATAACAGAATACCTGAGGCTGGGTACTTTATAAAGAAAAGTATATATATATCATAGTCTTAGAGGCTGAAAGTTCAAGATTGGGCATCCCCAACTGTTCAGCCTCTGGTGAGGGCCTCATGATAGACAGCTTCACAATAATGAGACAGGACCAGAATTTTATGGAAAAGAAACTTCTATTGCATCTGGAATATTTTATTTCTTATTTCGCTGTCTTGGAAGAATCCAGAAAAAAAACAAAAATTGAAGACCTCCTGGGCTGGATAAAAACATTGGTCTCTGCCACAGAAAGGCAAACCAGACTCTAGGTAGGAATGCGACAAGTCCAGATGTGGAGATTCAGGGGCCAGACTCCTTTTTGTAACCACAAGCTCTTGCAGGAACTAGCCATGGGTCCCCAAGAACCTAACCACTTCTCACTGGGCCCCACCTCTTAAAAGGTTCTCCCACCTTCAACACTGCCACACTGAAAACCAAACTTCTATCTAGCACATGACCCTTTGGGGGACCCACTGAACCTATAACCAAATCACAGCACCTTGACTCAGTGAACCACTGCATAAAGCTGAGCTGACTTTACAGGGAAATGAGCTGTTGGTTCTGGTTGGCTGGAATTTGATTGTAAAAGAAGGTCCGTATGAGAGGAGGAAAGATCAGAAGAACCCCATCATTATTGGTGGCCGGGGAAAAAAGACTTCTTGAGTTTTGTTCTGATATGATTGTTGAGCTGAAACCAGAAGCTAGATGCCTACATTTGTGTTTGGATGTGTCTATAGTAAAATGTGGGTTTTTATGGCATCCTTCAACCAGGGAAGAACGTCTCCTATCAGGAAGGTAGAATTTTCATAGTGATCATGAGCCAGACTTTCACAGGCAAAGGAACTTCCATTTCCATCTGGAATATTTTATTTCATTATTTATTATCTATATTGGAATACAGATAAAATATGAGGCCCTCCTGGGCTAGGAAAAAAAACATTGGCTTTTGCCACCAGAGGTATGCCAGAAGCTAGGCAGGAACATGGCGCGTTCACATGAACTCTCTACCTTTTTCTCCCCCAATCAGCTGCCATCTCCATATGCCCTTCTCAGGGTTGGCAGCACCATCTGCCCAATTGCTAAGCCCCTCAAGCCCTGTGCTTGGGTGTCATCACTGAAGATCAGTCAAGTCTTGCAGATTCTATCATCTAAACCTCCTGGCTCCATCCATCTCTCTCCATCTCTTCTCCACCCTGTCTCTCCACACACTCACACACCCCCAAGGCCACTGTCATCATCAGTGGAAGGATAGCAAAAGCATTCTGACTGGTCTCTCTGTCTTGAGTCACCGTCATAGATTCCACGTCTAATAATGTCACCCCTCACTTATTGTGAGGGCTTCCCACTCTTCCAAGGCCACCACCCAGTCTGTTTAATCTGATATGCAGAGCCCTTCTGGATCTGACAGTCACTTTCTTGAGTGGTTAAGAGCTCAGACCATGAAGTCAGACTTCTCTGGATTCAAATTCCCATGGCTCTGCCTATTAGCTTTGAAACTTGAACAAACTTCAGAACCTCTCCGTTTCAGTGTTCCCATGTGTCAAATGGAAATAGTAACAATAGCTCCCTTTAGGGAGTTGTTGGGAGAACTGAATGAGTTAATGCCTGTACAGTGCTTGGAACAGCCAGGGCACATAGTGAGCTTTCTGTTAGTGTCAACTATTCCTTTTATTTTGGTTTCCACAGTTCACTGTGCTTTCTCCAGCCTGCAGACCTTGGCATCTCCTGTTGCCTCCATCTGGAACCCTCTTTCCCAAAGCCCGATCACACTACAAGGCAATCTTTGGAAGTGAACAACAGCAGCAGCATCACCAGGAAACTTGTTTAAAAAGACAAATTCTCAGGTTCTAGCTGGKACCTCCGACATCAGAACCTGAGATGGACAATCCAAGTTTAACAGTCCTCCATGGGAGTCTGATGTACAACTAGAGCTGGAAACCAGGTTCATTTACAGTGGTAAATGTCCTTAGATGATTATCTGTCTTCMCCCCACTAGACTGTAAGTCCCTCAACAGCACAGATACTTGCAGCTTGTTCCTCGTGGATGTTGAAAAAATAAGAGCCCTCACAAATTGAAATGGAAAAAGCCTTGTTTTGTCGTCGACCAGATGACTTAACTGTGTGTTCCTTCACTGTCTATTTCCCTCCATTAACAGCCAGGTCTCTCTAAGGCTCACCTCAATATTCCAGCTTGTTCCCAGCCTTGAGTGCAGCCTTAGGCCTAGGTGCAAGGTAGAGGGCAAAGGAGAGCTGTGAGCCATTACCCAGGAGGCCCTGCAGCTTCTGGAGCACCCCAGGGGCCCCTCGCTGAGTCTGTGTGCTTTCCCAGGAGTGCAAAAGAGGTTCCATCTCAGCATTTGGACAACCATGGAAAATCTTGCCTACTAAGAGTTACTTCTGGGGAAGATCTGAAGCGAAAACCGGCTCTTTACCTCCCCAGACCCTTCTCCTCCTCTCCCCCCCTTTTCCTCCTGCCTCCTGCTCCTCCCTCCTCCTCCTCTTTCTTCTCTGGCCCCTCTGCTACTCCCGCCCTTTCTCTCTTCCTCTCCCCACCTCCCTTTCCTTCTCCCTCCTCTTCCTCTCTCAAGTCTCCCCCCC